CAAAAGGAAAGCTTCATCATCATAACTGATGGAAAGAGGTAACACAACAATATAACAAACAAAGCTTTTGTATATGATTTAACTAAGCAGGCAATCATCTTGGTAGCAGAACATTTAGTCTGTGATTCTTGATGGGGCTAAGCTATGGGATAAGTGTAGAGAAATGTCTATATGGCAAGACTTAAATGATTCTACCTGTGCCCAGCAGTATGAATGGTGTTAACTAGGATTCTTATGGAAATTTCAAGTATGCCTACACTGGAGTGAGACTGTGACTGCATCTTATGTGTATGTACCCAAGCTAGCTTTAAGATAGATAGATCTGTTGTAACCACAGTGGGAATGGGCTCATACTGAAGAAAACCCAAAAACCTCAAAAGAAAAAAAATCCCCAAACATCCTCATGCTGAGTTTGAAGTGCTTCTCCCTTTCAACTGCTAAAACTAGAACTTGAATTTTTTTCTTTGTTCAATGTAAACTATTCACATACAACTTCAACACCTAGGTATTAAAGGAATATCTTTCCTCTTACATGTGGCTTTCTCCTTCCAAAAAATATTTCAGTACTAAAAGAAGTTCTTGATGATCTAAAGTTTGTGCCTAGGTCCTGAATATGATGGTGTATTCTTAACTACCTTTCTCTTTTGCTTAGGCCAAGCGCACAGAGTATGAAATAATGTTGCAAGATAAGTAGAATACTCTTGAGGGTTTTAATAACAAAAGAAAAAAGTAACAGGAAGAAAATATGCTATCAGTGGTGTAGTGGTGTTCAGAATGGATTTTTGTGTCTAGCAAATCAAAAGTAACATGTAACTATGTCCCATGGGCACCAACCTTCAAAATACGAGACAATTTGTAGTGATTTCTTTTAGTAAAATGCACGTGGAATGATGAAACAAAGAAATTGCTGGTTCAACATTTTCTTAATGAAGGAGATAGTGGAATGCTGCTATTCCTTTTTATGTACTTAGGGTCAAATTCAGTTCTACACGTCCCAATATGCTCCAACTCCTTTTGCATTTGATGGAATGAATGAAACAGACTATGAGTAACCAGGCAGGAGATTTTACTAAATTTTAATCTGGTAGGAAGCATTTTCAAGACCAGCCAGATTAGCAGGATTTCAACATACTAATTTGTATGCAGTGAAGTCTCAACATAAAAAGCTTATGTGTTCATAATTTATGATTAAACATAACATTATGTGCATAGATCTTTATATATTGAGACTTCAGGACAGAAAATCTACCTGTCTCTAAATTCTGCAGTATTGCTGAGACTTTGTTACCTTAGTTTTGTACAGATGCTTTATACAATAGAATTTTATGCATATTTTTATTTTAAATTTTCATAAACAGGTAACTGTAAGTAGAAATTATTACATCTCTTATTGAGTTTGTTGATCACAGGAAGGCACTAAGGTCTCTATAATCTATAACAGAACATCTTAAAATTCTTTTGGTAGAAATTCTCATTCCTGCAAACAGCAGCTAGAGTGGGATCAGCATATATTATATTGTGTAGGTGCTCCAGTCCCAGTCTGTCATGGGAAGAGCTCATCAGTTTATAGAGATATTAAAGCAGTAGGAACCAGGAAAAGAGAGGGAAGAAAAAGTCAGATATTTCTGCACTGGACTTCTCCTGTTCTCTGCAGTCAGTTGAAGATTCTATACTCATCCTTTTCCCTAATTTTGGGATGGAGTTTTAAATACCACAGTGTTTGTCCCTTCCCAGTCTTCCTCCCATGCACAGACTGGTAAGATTTTTTTCAACTGCTTGTCTTTTTATTGAAGGTTGAGATTTGAAATTCACATTTCTTCACATGGTAAAATTTTATTATTTCCCACCCCCCCGCTTTATTACTTTACTCTTGTTTATACTGTATTTATTTTGCAAATGCATTCATATATATTGTCTGGGAATCTTAAAGTTTCTGTTTTCTTTTCATTTTTGTCTCTTGAACAGTAAATTCTCTTAAATGAAATATTTCTGATTTCAAAAAATATAAAAACCGGGACATGGCCTTCTTGCAACATCTCATGGAAGGGCTTGATTCATCTTTCACACATGTAATAGGAGTGATAGGGAAAATTACCAGTGAATGTCAAAAATTTTTTATGTTTACTTGCTGAAAATTTTCATTTCTGCAAGGTTAAAGATTTTAACATCCAAAGTGTCATTGGATGCCTTGTCCATATTGTCTATTTATTTTCTCTTCCTTTTGTATGCTTTGTCATCCACAGGTCAGACCATGATACTTTTAACCACTTCAGGTGCTTCTGGGTGGATTTTCCATTGATGGAACTTGCAGTCCAGCTTGTATCAGTAAAAAATCTAGGAGCAAATACAACCTTAGGAAATAATATCTTTGCTGTGCTTCTTTTGTTCTCTTATTAACTACTTGAATCAGTATAAACAGCACTGAAAATTACTTTTTTTCACATCTCAGATTCTTAGGTGAACTCATTATTTGTTGGAGAATGTGGATCAATGAATTTAGAACATTGTAATACATTCAGAAATAGAATAGCATTACAGCACTGAATGGTAGCTTTTTCATGGGTATAAAATTGTAAATGCTTAATTTAACAGCAGCAATATACAATGCTGGTCATCCCACATCCCCTTACTTGTGAGATTACCACTTTTAAGACAAGATGATAAGGTATAGCAAATACAAATGTTGCAGGAGAAACGCCAAAGGACCTGTAATCTGTCCACTCCACAACTATTTGTGCAAAATTTTGCAAATCATCAACAATAAGTGAAACAAATATTCTTGGACTGAATCATTATTAACTGCATGCTTCTAATGCAATCCTCATACAGTTAACTAACTGTAGATAGGGTTAGTCTGTTCTTCATGTTTTTTGTCTATGAATTCCTCAGTTAATTTATTTTTTAGGTGCTTCACATGGACTAGAACTGTATGCGTACAAATCTGGTCCCTAGAATATATAAATTATACATGAAAAATAGTCGGTACTGCTTATATTTAGACCAACAGAAAGTGTGGAAATGAAATGCAAATCAGGTTAATTAGAAAGCAGCCTGTCAGATCAGAAGATGGCTTACACTGGGTCCAAGATTATTTCTCAAAATCTATGTTATTTAAGTTGTTGTTAAATATTTATAGGCAGTGTAATGCTGAAAATATCCCCAAAAGATTATAGGATGCACTTACACTCCCCCAGGCTCTAATGGTCTAATCACTTTCCTTCTTCCATCTGATTGAAGAAATTTGACAAGTATAGGGTTTTGCAGAGTTTCAGCATAATCAGGATGCTCTGTAAGTGTGACTTAGGCCCCTTCATGCACAAAAGAGTAGAAAAGAGTTTGTTTTCCTTTCTTTCTGCTTCCCATATCATCCTGTGTCAAGTCAGTTTAGCTCCTAGTACAGAATATCATTCTTTTCTAACTATAAATGATAAAAACACAAGTTCTTGCAACTCAAATACTTTCAGGCCAGCTTTTCCCACCTTTTATTCTGGAATAAAGGAAAAGCCCAGAATGTTTTGTAATTAATGGTCCTTTCTACGTTTTACTTCCATGAGGCACAGCAACTCTTTGCTGTTAGCTTTATTCTTGTGATAAGCTCTAGGTATATAAGAAGAAAGTGAAGAAATTAAGAATAAATTGCAATAAATTCCAAAAGAAAATATATGTTTTCCAAGGGTGTAAGGAGTATAAAATATCACATCCATGCATTCCTTCAGCTCCTTCACAGCTGATCGCATTTCATGAGATAGTCAAATGAGCTGCATCTCTAAAGGATTTTTTTAAAAGGTGTCAAGATAGTGAAGATACATTTTATTACTCAGCCAAAGGAAACACTGTCAAAATTATAGTTAGTAAGTAGTATTATTATGACAGAAAGAAAAAGAGTGGGGATTCTTCGTAGAATTGAATTCATATCTCATGAAACAGGGATGCCACACCTTTTAATCTTTTTTTTTTTTTTCCCCTGGGATTTCTTCACCATGTTAATAAAGAGTCTTTTGTTCCTGTTTCCACAGGAGAAGAAGAAAAATGATGGCTTTATTCTCTCCTTAAACATTACACAAGTCTTAACAAGAAAGCACTTCTAACTGACATGATTTACTCTCTAACATTGAAAAAAGAAAAGATTTCTCCATTGGCATTATTAATTAGTTAATGTAGATTTTAAAATACTCATTGAAAAGTCCTTATGCATTATATAAAGAAAAAGAGAACAGATGACATGTAAAGATATAACACTACCCTTTGAACTGTCCCTTGAAATACTGAAATGTTCAAAAGCTAAAAAATTATCATATCATCTTATAATACTGAATTATGAGAAAGAATACATTAAATTATGAAAATTTACATCCCTGATATCCAAACACACTTAACCTTATCTTTCTGAATGCGTTGTTACCTGGTACTGTTAGTAAATAAGTGCATGTTTGGAAGGTATCTTAAGTGCCTGACAATCTATCAAATCGGGTCCTTTGTAGCTTGGTCCTAAAGCATAAATTGTTGTTTCTCTTTTAATAAAATAATAGTATAAAGCATTCATTACATATCAGATCTTGGATTAGCTTTAGGGTAACAAGCTATGAAGCAACATCCTGTAGATTTAGGTATATTAGACTAAATCTACTGCAGCATAATTAAAAACCTGATGGAAATGGAAAGATTAATACTATTTGGCTGGACATAATATTTGGGCATGAAGATGTTTGAGACCCTAGGACTAAGTGTGATAGGACTTGTTGCATTAAGTTACCTCGCTTACAGGCAACACCAGCTGGATCAAGTTTTGTGCATATATATTTATACGTGTGTGCATGTGGGTTTGTATTCGTGTGACCAGTGTGACCATGGTGAGATGTAAATGGCTTTTCGATAGATGTTATGGTTATAGAGGATATAGTTTTTCCTGTGACATTATATTACATTTTATTCTGATCAGGAATAACTAACTTTCCTTAAAATATACCCCATGCAATATATATTCCCTGTGGTCTCTTTAGGTTCTCCATATAGGGACAAGATCACTATAGCAATTCTTCAGCTGCAAGAAGAGGGCAAGCTCCACATGATGAAAGAGAAGTGGTGGAGAGGCAATGGTTGCCCAGAAGAGGAAAGTAAAGAGGCCAGTGCTTTGGGAGTTCAAAATATTGGAGGAATCTTCATCGTGCTGGCAGCAGGATTGGTGCTTTCTGTCTTTGTGGCAGTGGGGGAGTTTTTGTACAAATCAAAAAAAAATGCCCAGTTGGAAAAGGTAAATATTGTCTTTTTCTATTTTATTTTATATTTATGGTCTATTTAAAGAATACTTTAAGCATTTGGTAGCCAAATGTAAGTGATGCATATTGATTGTTTATTGCATAGTACAGTACTTGTATAACAAAGGACCACAGCAAAGTACCCAAAGTTTTATATTTACAGCTTTTAATTTGTCTTCAATGTGTTTAATTGTAGCCAGATTTCAGGACAAGTGACTATTTCTCCTCTTATTCAAGCCTGAAAAAAGACAGCTTTTTACTCCTGGAAGTTCACTGCAGTTAATTATATGGATGAAGAAGAAATATGAAACTGTAATGGGAAACAAATAAATCTTCTACAGATAATTCTGATTTTCAAAAGACAAACTGGCTGTAGCTCAAAGTCAAAATCTAAAAATGTCTCTATAGAAATGTTCTTTACAGATGTTTATACTTACAAAGTTGTCCTGGGAGCATCTGGAAAAGATTATGTCAGCATGATTTTTTTTTGGTGGGTTTACTACTGATACTATGTCCTGTAATTTCAAACTGATTCAGTTTTGAAGATTGTGGTGTTAATTTCTTCTGTACTTGCAATTTATACAACCACGATACTGTAATTGTGCCAACACTAGTAATATCTTGTGAAATTCTTTGTTGGAACTATCATTTTTGCATAATAAATAAATCTTTTTATATGTATGTGCCCATGTTTAAATCTAAACTCAAACTGTATATTTTATTGCTATGACAAATTCTGACTTTTAAAAATATAGACAAAATTATTATATATTATATTATTATTATATATTTTTTAAAAATATAGAGAAAACATTGGATTTTACTAGGTCTTTTTCTTTTTTTCCTTTTGAGGAGGTTTTTTTTTTTATGGTAATTCCTATATTTCTATTTAGAAATTTAATTTAATAAAATCAGTAGTAAATCCAACAGGTATAATTATATTGGTATTTTTCCAGATGCTACTGGTAAGTTTTTGTAACTTGGATAATTATACAGAAAATTTACAGTATGTTTTCACTTCTTTTGAAGCAACCTTTTGGTATGCAAGTGTCCTGTTATAACTATATTGTTAAAGAAGTTTTTTTCTAATACACACAAAGGCAGTGTGAGGTTACAAGGTCCTAAACACAATTTGAACATGGGTACATTTTACGAAATTGTTAAAGGACTATTTAGATCCTCTTCTTCATCATAATACAGGCTGATTCCTTTCTGTTAACATATTCTTGGAATGTTATGCTTCTCAAATGAATTTGTGAGGAAAAAGATACCAGTTACTTGAGTAACCCATCTAAGTCTCAATAATTTTTATCCATTCCTAAGGTGGATATGGATTTCATTTGGATATCAGTATAATTTGATTTAGCTTTTCTGGATTTTTAACAAGCACACAACAAAAATAAGACTTTTGATAATAATCTTGTAACATGAGTTCAGTATTTTGGAGGTTGAGAATGCATATCTTGTTTCTCTAAACCCTACGGTTTTGTGGTTTTTTGGGGGGTGTTGGTTTTTTTTTTAATTTTGCTTCTATTTAATTTTTGTTTGTTAATGATGGATAGAGATAGCAATGACTGGAAGTATCTGACCTTTAAACAGTACTTGTACCAGAAAGGTCTCATCATCAAGTATTGAGATATTTTACAAAGTTAGGAGTGAACCTGAAACAGTTGAGAGTCAGTGCTTTCTCCTCTCTTCCCTCCTTGCCACCAATCTCTTATATTCTCTCCCCTCCCCACTACACCCCCATACCCTGATGTCAGGAGACCAGTAAAATTTCAGTAGAACTTATGGAATTAACAGAAAAATGATGCCAACATCCCTACACATGGCCTACCCCATCATCCCCTTACCCACTTTTCTCCCAGAACCCACAGACCTTCAGTGAATGTCTTCTCCATCATCTCCAAATATAGCAGATCCCATTTGCCCAGGAGAGGGAGTAGCACCAGCCAAAGGGGAGATAAGCTGTACTGTCATCTATCTCTAGTCCCTAAATCTCAGCTGCTGGGATGAGTAAACCATGCAAGTAATGCTGCCTTGGTTATCCCACGGGGAGAGAGGAGGCACCTATTTTTGGTAACATTTATAGTTTCATCCCTTTAGAATCAGGGTATCGTTCTGGCATTTGTGTAATGCTTGTCAACATTTGGGAACAGGAAAGATCAAAGGTCATATTAAAAACCAAGGGAAGAAAAGAAATGACATCACTTCAGCTGCTGAATATATGGAGTATCCTGGGATGTAAATGGGCATATAAACATGTGTGCCTGCTTTTTAATGTATACAAAATATACAGTAGCACTTCCAGTCGGGAGGCGGGCAATGCGGATTTAAAGTCTATAATCTAGATATGTTTTTCTAGCATTTTGAGTGTCACCCCACTCCTGACATTCACATGTAAACTGAACCATTGGCTGGTGTGAATCTAGTTGAAGGAGTGAAATCTTGTAAGGATTTGAGTTCAGAAAAACAGCAGACAAAATTTTGTTATTTGCTAAAAAACTGTTGCAACTTATACCCAAAGTGGTTCAGAACATCCATGCTCCTGATATGCTCAAATATCCTCAAATATCGTCAAATATAAAGGAAACATGTGACACTAGCTATAGCCTTTCTGGGAAACAGATGGGTCCATGCTACCACAACACTTTCCAGACACAGAGAAGTTCCTCTTTTATTCACAACTTTCAAAAGCAAAGATAAGCCTGGATGTTGTCACGGTTAGACTGTCAGAGTCTGACACTTACTATAGCTAGTTTGTCTGAAAAATGAGTGTTCTAATTTACTGAGTATTACTAAGATTGATGGATGTAAAAAGAACAATATATGGATTAAATTCTGCTATTGTTTCAAAACAATATTCATTCAAAATATATACATTCAAAACTCATTGAGCCATCAGCAGGTTAGAACAAGGTCTGCTTGTGAAAAAATAGCAGATGTACATTTTATTCATTTTGAACTGTTAAGTTTGAATAATGTGAATTGAGACACCTGTCAGCATACCTTAACTGTTTGTTTCACTAGGGGAGATTTGGTCATAGACTTCCTACAATACAAAATACTAGATTAAATCTTAGAGCGTACTGAAATACCTACAAAATATTTCTGGAATTATATGATCAAATAACCATGTAAACATCAGTTAAATTAGCCTTTCTGAAATATTTATTTATACGTTATTGTAAAAGCAATAAATACAAAACTAAATTGATACTGGTTTATATTTTACATACATTTCCCAAGGAAGAGAAGAACAATTGAGTTTTCCACGGTATATAACTCACCACTCAGCTACACAATTGAGTTGAAGAAGATCAGTCTGTATAGTTTATCTCACAAGGTACAATGAATGAACAGTCAGCAGGATTGGATCCAAAGCAGTCAACAGTAGCTGTGAATATACAGATTACACACAAACCAGTGTTTTACTTACAACTGCAGATTCTATTGAACAAGAAATTCTGAATACTGAACTGTGACTTGTATATGAGACTGTGTCTTTGAAGATGGCACAAACTTAACTGGTTGACTCTTGCTCAAGTAAATGGTTTAAAAAATTTCAAACACCTTCTGCAAAATGCACAGAGCATGTTTGGGTTTTGATAATGTAAGGATAACAGGATTTTCTGATCTTAACTGTCTCAAAAACTCATACGGCTTTACTGAGCTGCAGAGACTTTAAGTTATGGCAGCATTTGATCTTAAACTTATTAGAAATTCAGCATGGTTTTGCTACGATTGCCAATAATTCTGAATTTGCTGTCTACCTCAAACACATATTTGAGTAATGTGATAATCTGGGGTGTATTTTGAGCTAAATAGCCTCTCTAGTCCTACCTAGCACATAGCCTTACTGATTTTTTTCATAAGAAATAATGGGAATGACAAAGCATTTTCCTTGTCTATGGCAGAATTTTGACATTCCAGTTGACACAGCAGGAAGGGGTAGAAGGAGATGGCAGGCTGAAGGCTGTTCTGACTGCACTCCTGCAGAGTAACCACAAGATGGTGCCTTCTAATTTCTCAGAGGGAAATTTAATTGTTTCTTTTTAACAGAATTTATATCACAATGCTCATCTATTTTTTAATTGCAACCTTTCAAAGAAAATGCTAAAGGCTTGTATTTTTTCCTATTGTTTATGATGCAAACATCTAATTATGTCATCTGTTTGGAAACATGTTATTAAGCAGACATTTTTTATCTAGCCAATCTTAACAATAAATGCTCAGTCATTTGCATTTTATAATTGCTTTTGCTGGTGAATGACCTGCTCCCTGATTTAACAGGCACTCAGAGGGCAGTGAATAAGCAATGTTAGAAACAGAAGCCATTTAAAACAATTACTATGTTCTTTTTTTTTTTTTATTGATGTGCTTCAATGTATTGTGGGTTTATGTCCATTTCATACATTTAGTTTTGTATAGCTCACATTACTCATAAAGACCAGGGAAAACATTGACCTTGAAGACCATTAATATTTAGCATAATTTATTTATTTCCTTCTTTTTTTTTCTTTTTTTTTTAAAGGTCTTCTCTGAGTTTATTTCCATTTTGATACTACCTTCACACAGTGACTAGATATTACCATAAGTGTCAGCTGTGTGGGAGAAATTACATGTGCACTGTTGAAAAATTTAGGATGAAATTCACAGTATTGCTGGAGGCAGTGTCAAGAATATATAGAACACTGTTTGTTGTCACCCTTGTAAATGGTTATCCTTGTACCTATCCTGGTCATGATTTCTTTGGAGAAGGTAATGTCGGCTTGAGAAGTTATCTTGAAACCTGGTTTTATTAATGTAGTGGACCCATACCCTTCCCAAGAGGCAAGGAGGGACTAAGGGTTGCTAGCCTGAAAAAACTGTTGTGCTGTAACCATACAGTTCACACAACATCCTGATTGTGCTTCTCTCAAACACTGTTTAACTCTTCTTGCTTTATTTTAACGAAGTTAGTGTAAATGCTAACATGAGTTTATTTGCCAAGGTC